ATAATTCCTAAACTAATTCATTAACATTATTGTAGAAGATTTCAGAATGTTTTGCTGCTTGTTCTAAACATAATTAGCTAACATCTACTCTTCCACAAATCTGTAGATGTGCTCTTCACTTTTTACTATCCACACATTCTTCATTTTATCGGTTATTTTACCGGAAACATTTCTGATAACCAAAATTTCATCGAATCAACATAATTCAGGCGAGTTGATATCTCTCTTAATTCACAATATTATACTTACATTGTTAAATTTTTATTTTAATTTCGATTATTACGATATAAAAGACAGGAAAATATTTGCAAATAATTTAGTTACATTTTAAAGATTACAACTAAGAGCGTATTTCAAAAATAAACAAGAATTAAAAATATTTTTTTAAGAAAAAAGTAACAAAATTAATACAATTTGAGAAGATTTTATAGATGAAGCATGGTTTCATATTCAATGGGTTCCAATTGTACAGCGAAATTTTACAGAAATGATTGACCAACAGAATGAAGATGAGGTAGGCATTGCGAAATATTGATCAGTTAATGACTAGGATTAGTTGAGTAGAATTAATTCATTTAATTTGATAAATTTAAATTCAAATTTTATATTATTTAATGAAAATAAAAGTTTTTTTTAGGATTAGTACCCAGAGAGAATTTAGTTTTTTTTTTTTCAGAGGAAATGAAACAGACGAATCTAATTAATTAATTAAATTCACTTGTCTAATTAATCAATTCCATCAGTATCACTGATCATGAATTCTTTTAAATGAAGTGAACTTGAGTAATACTAACCAATAAGAGTAATCATCTCTGCGACAATCCTCTATTTTGATTCAATAAAATGCTACATTTCATGAAATGTAAAAAAAAAAAAACAACACATTTTATTTTTAAACAAATCTCTCAAACATCAGAAGAAAATAAATTGAAATTATGCAAATTTTCAAATATCCTCCAAATATTTTTTATTTAAACTTTGAAAGACTTTTTTTTTGTTCCCAATAAATTAATAGTAAAATTAAAAAAAAAAATCCAATTTGTACAAATTCTACATTCTCAACCTTTTTTTTTTCTCTAGATATATCAAAACAGAAAAATGACTGCAAAATCGGTTAATGGGAAATTTAAGCAATATATGCAGAATGGAAATACCGGAAATGTTGATCGTTTTAGTTATTCTTCTTCTGCTATTAAATTTAACAATCAAATATGTTTGCTTTTTACTATTTGGCTATTCATTACCTTTTTTAAATGCTATTAAATATCTGTTTTTGATTATGATTCATTGTTAAAATGAAGCAATAAAATATTTTCAAAACATTTTAAAAATTACAGTATCTTATAAATGATTTGTCACAGACAGATAATATAAACAATGTTTTATGTGATTACTCATATATTTCTGCGAGTACTTTGCAAAAAATTTCAATAATTATACGAATAGATAAAGAATTAGTAACAGTTATTGATTTATCATATGTTATAATAATCTCGCAGTTGAAGTAAAAATAAAATGATAATTGAATACTAGAAATATTGTCTTCCTTCTAAGCTCATCGAGCAATCCTAGCCAATTATGAAAAACTCTCATGAAAGTTTTCAATTAAATAGTTTGTTGATTTATAGACGAGAAAGATTTATTCTTTGTGAAAGATTGAAATTAATTATTATATTGTTTTGAAGTTTGGATGGGAATTGATAAAGTATTGTTTGAATTGCAACTCTAATCAATGAGTAATCACGTAGCAAAAATATGTTGACGATAAGACTGATTGACTAACGCGATGCAATAACTTCCGCTGACTCCGCTTGTTGGCTAGCGTTAGAGGACAATCGATATTTGTGGATGAAATTAATAGTAATTGATGAAAGAAGTGACGTAATCATGAATAAAAGGCTCGTGTGAAAGATAAGAAAGACTATTGTAACACGGAATCATCTGGACATGCAATCGATAAATCGATAGTGGATCATCCAGATGTACCAAATAGATGAAGCTGATTTGTTAATTATTGAGATATAGCAAGTAGATAAAGCCGATAATTAATCATCCAGACATACTACAATCGATAAATCGATGGTATTCCGATGTTAATCATTTAGAATATCTTTAATATTGAATTGAGTTATTGACCAAAAAATATTCTATCATTTGATTGAGAATAATTGATACAAAAGATTTCTATAAATATTAGATTTCAAGAAATACAACGATACGTTGATTATATAAATATTTTATTTTACAAAGTTATTTCGGTTTTTCAACAAAAGGTATTGACTTAATGATAACATATCATCAGGAAATAGAAGAATGAAGAAACTGGACCATATTTTGCTGTTATGTGGCAGTCATCAGGTTAGTTCACATCCGATATTTAATAAAAATTGCATAAATTGAATTTTCATTAATGAATTTCTGTGAGAAATAAATATCCCGAAATTTCCAATAACTAACAAAGCAATGGAATATATTTATAATTTTAATTTATGATAATATTCTTTTATAATTTTAATTTGTGACAACTATTTGATGAATTCATATATGCTTTGATGAATTTTAATTGAAATTTCTCAAAGCCAGCGCTGAAAACTACCAAAATATTCAATTATGATAGTTAAGCTTTCTTGGAAGAGGCGGTATAAAAAAACTACAAAAAAAACTATCGGAAAAATGAAACAGAACTTTGAAGTTTAGGATTATTTAACCCTATGAAGATATATCGGATACAATACTTATCACCTAATAATTACGAAGATTATCAAGTTTCTCAACAAGAAACTTTTTAAGCGAGATGATTTCATCGATAGAAACAAGAAAAGGTTGCCTCAGGCTGTCAGTTATTTTCGACAGATTGTCTCATTTGTTGTGTGAAACATAATTTAAAGTCATTAGTGTTGTTCTAAAGCTAAAAATCTCATTATATTTCCCATTTCCTATAACTTAATCCTAAATCAACACTTAGTAGCAGGCAAAAATTTTTCGTTAAAACTATTTATGATGAAACAAAAATTAGCCAATCATTAGAGGTTTTATAACAAATAATCTTAGCACTTCGTTCTAAAAAAATATGTTTATATACTGGGATTGATGACATGCAAATTTTCTCCTGACAGTTTCTTCCACTTCAGTAAACTTTGCTACATTCGATTCGCAATCTAAGCTCTATCTGCTGCTAATAACTCAGTTTTTTTTTATACTAGGTATTTTGTAAAAATTAGCTTGTAAAAAGAATTATTGAGTTATAATCAAAAGAAAAAATCAAGATATATATATTTATAATTTACATATTGCACTATAAATCAATCCTGTTTTGCACAAGAATTTTTTAATTTTTAATTTTTTTTTAAGATTTCGGCCATATAAAAATAGCAAAAACAATCATCAATAACGTCTCCATAAAAAATTGTATCATTGACAATACACTTAAAGAACATGCGTGAAAAAGTTACTTTGTTAGCAAGAAGCAAATGCCGGAAATATAACCTCTACAAATCCAATATGTAACAAATTTGATCATACGGATTAATGGAATGCGATGCTTCAATCTTTTAATCTGAAAATCGCATCACAAAAAAAGCAGTACATCCTAATCATATAGCAGTCCCTCTTTCAAGATCACTTTTAAGATCTTCCGTATACTTATCATAAAAACGATCCAGCTTCTGATTGAATTTGCGGTTCCGTTCATTAATGTAATCGATTGGTGCATCCGGATCGAACATGCGCCGACGATGATACTGATCACGCTTCCTTTCTCTGAAAAATAAATTTCAAGTAAAACAAGTGTGACTATGGTAAAAAAACAGAACTGCGCTTTCAGTCAATAAGTAGAACAAGACAAATAGGTGGCAAATTAAAATTCCTTTGCATAACTATAAACCCGAAAAATACACCCACAAATCCAAACTAAAAAAACCAAGACAATTAGCTGATTAAGATTAAAACCAAGAAAAATCCACTTACTGTGCTTTGATATCTTCTGCTAACTTATTTAAGGCAGCGTCTGTTGGATAGTGAGCTCCAGAAATAAGTGTATCCGCTCCTGGATAGAATTCCCTAGCATCACTGAAAATTTTAATGTTTTGTTTTTGAACTGGAAAATGAAGAGTTATAAGTACTAAATGAGCTAGTTTTCATTATTATAAAATATTACTTAAATTAATCTTAGAACAAATTATTAAAATTCCGTTAAACTTCACAACTACAATGAACTCTCTCTTCATGATGATCTGTCAAGATATCTTATCAAGAAATAGCATTGATAAGAATAAATACTTACATAACTTCTCTCATTTTTTCATATGCTTTCATATCAGGCTTAATATTTCCAGACAGTCTCTGATACTGACGTAAAGTCATTGCCTCGTAATCTGGAATATTCAGTTTAGTAATTTTTAAAATTATTCACAACAATTAAGGCAGTTGACAGAATTCATAGATTTCTAAATTCTACAAATGTTGCCAAAATCATTGCTTACGAGTTTTTTTGAAGATAATGCGAAGTTAATAGCTGAGTAAAACATCTGTTAAAACTCTGCATTATTCACAACTTTCGAAATCCAGGAAGAAAACCAACCACTGAAGCCTTTATCGGGTTTCTTTTTTCTTTTAGCCATCTCTTTACGCACGATCAGATCTGCCTGTGTTTTCAAAGCTTGTAATCTATCATAATCTTCTCCTCGTTCTTCAGCAGCCTGAAATTAAAACTAGCTAGAGCAGAAATTTGACAAAAGAATGTCCAAGAGACATTACTGAGAGTGTAACACTGATAAATTATGACTGAATAGAAACTTAATGAAAAAAGAGAGAAGAAACTCTTATATTCCCGAGATTACATGGGAATGAATAACAAGAAATTAGCAGGAAGTACACTCTGCACTGTTGAATTTTCAGTTAATTCTACAATTTGCATGTTTCACTCCCCTACAATTCATTAATATAACAACATAATTGTTGTGCTGTTATCAATGAAAACTTTGGCTTTGGCAGAGAGAATTAACCTTTTTCAATTCCATTTCTTTCAGCTCCCATTCTTGACGTTTCCGTTTTAAATCATAATTCTTTGGCAACTTCGATCTACGATCCTCTTCTACCACTTGTTCATAGTTTAATTTACGAGATTCTTGCTAAAAAATAGAACGAAATCCTGATCCAATTTGTTGGAAAAAAAAACTATATACTTGCTGCTTTTAAAATTAAGAGAAAATTTGGGGAAGAACTTTAGTCAATTTGATTTTATTGTCTTTTTTTTTCCGCATCTCTCTTCACTTTGTTTTACATTAAGAGTTGATGCTGTTGAAGAGACTTAAAACTAACATTCAATTCTTATGTTAAAATATCAATTTCAACTTACACGTTTCTGATGTAATATCCTGAATCTCTCTTCGAGTGAATCTTTCGATAAATTCTTCGAAACAGAGGTTGATGCTTCCGATAAATCCATCCAGATAACAAATCTTAAATTACCATATTTTATCATCAATACTTAATTATCTATTCTAAATCATAGTCCAAACTTTACACAATCAACACATATACGCACACAAAAGCTTTCTAAGTCTTTCATTTCTTAAATCTCGTACTACTACTAATTTTTGATGGCTAATATTCTAACAAGCATAATATCTGTCAATAAACTATCAATTTCAAATTATTTGTAGCGACCATATATCACTCTGGCTGTATTAAATTAAGCGTTAAGGACCATTCTTTCGAATATTTGACTAATTAAAAAAAAAAGAAAAAAGAACAACGTGCGGGATTTTGAAGTTGAATGAATTTGTGTAGTTAATGTAACCTTAACACTATTACTGTTACCTGGCAGACAAATACTGGCTGACCCCGTGTCCGTGTCACTATATGACCCTCAGTGGTAGCGATGATCAGCGATTGCTGTCAAACGACGTCCGCTCAGTTTGCTCGCATATTATAATCGATTGAGTGTTGGAGCGATTGCAGAGAATGCAGTGCATTCTTGTCTGCATGTCTGCTTCCATCTCTTTATTCCCACGTCTATGCGCATCTTTTTCTGTTTGCATCTCTCGTGTCTGAATGTGTCCGCATGTTGCTCCCTATGTCTCTGTGCATATTTATGTGCTGGTGTGTGAGAGGACAGTTGGAAGAGCATTTGCTGCGAGCAGAGCAGGCAGAGAGCGGTCGGGTCGTTGTCGTTGAGCTTCGGCTCGTTTTTTGCTATTCTACCGGATTTGGACTTGTCGGATTTGGAACAAAAGAAAAAAAAAGTGAACGGTGAAGGATATATATATATATATCACCTAATACACATATCGATAGATATTGATCGATATCGGTTGATCAATCAAATAGATTGAAAAGAGTGGGAGTGCGTTGATAAGAGTTAATAGAGAGATTCAATTGGTTGGTTTAAATTAACGATGGAAATTGAAGTACGACAAGGAAACGGCTTGTTTTATAAGGTTAGCATATTTACTTATTAGCACTGATTGCATTAAGAAAATTGTTCTTTTGATATGAAGATAAGATAAATAATGAGGTCATTTTATTGCAGGCATTTGTGAAATCTATCAAAACAGATACTGTCATTGTGAGTTATGGGAACGACGCTAAAACTGATGAGGTTTGTTTCATCATTTTTTCGGTATTTAAAATTTTACGCTTTCATGAATTCTTTGAATGACTACTTATATGCCCAGGTTTTAGAAGTGATATTTGTTGCTGAAAAGAGAGAGAAAATGTACTTAATGAATTTAGGTGAAATTCGATGACTGTCGTTTGCCTCCGCGTTCCGCAAAAGCTGAGTCGTTGAAGGTGGGCGATACTGTGGAAGCGTTGATGAAGCAGGAGGGTGATGCTATCTTCGGTTGGCAGAAGGCGAAAATCAAAGAATTAAGGGTGAAAGTTTCATTTTGTTTACAATACAATGAGAATAAATTGTAAGTTTGTATGAAAATTGTGCTTGCTAACGGAATTCTAGAGGATTTTATCAGTTAAACTATTTCATAGAACTCAATTGTTTTTCCTTTTTTTGATAATTTAAACTTGCTGATAAATTTGTAGGGAGATTTAGCAGCAATCGAAAGCGTTGAAGGGCCGCATCGTATGGATATTGTATCATTGGAACATATACGTACGTTGTTGGTCAAATGTACCCCACTGAAACAAAGTCAATTCAAACATGCAAAAATCACTGTACCTGAAGATCTTCGGACATATTTCAAACGACCTGAGTCGTATGCTGATTTCGCAGCCACCGTCAAAAGTGTTTTTGTCGAGTATGATGAAGAGAATGGGAATCTCCTTCTCTCTGTTAGTTGCTTTTTTAAATGTTTCGTTGTTCCCACATTCATGATACATGAGCGATAGTGACAAAATATTTCAACAATAACTAGAAAAAAGCTATGTCCGGTAAGAATCACGTTGTGTTAACCAGTGGATCCAAAATAGCAAGTAAGTGAGTGGATTTATATAATAACTGAATATTATTAATGTGGAAGCTATAAAAATTGTTGTTGTGAACTTAGTTCTAAAATTTTAGACATTTGAAGAACAAGCAGTAAAACGCGCGACAATTCTTTCTGATATGTATTTCAAGGATTCTCGACAAAAGATGCAACTTCTGCAGCGTCAGGAGGTTTTTTTAAAGATAGCTTATACAAAATGTTCTTTTTTCTCCCTTTCATTTACATGGCAGCCACTTTGAATAGCTTGTTGCTGAAAAAGAGAAGCAGGGATTTATATAAATTTAGTATAAGCAATCTCAACGATACATGAACAATCCATAAATATAGATGGAAGGGCAACGAATAATTCGCGAATCTTTTTGTAAAACAAAATTAGTAGACTTAGCCCTGGAAATCGTTAAAAGACACGTTAGCGGTCTTTACGAATAGGAGAAGCAACAAAAAAGAGCTGGTCTAATCATGATGCGTGAGAACCATTCAGGAAGCTGCACGTCTGTTAGAGAATACTTCGATGCAAATATCAGCTCATGTAGAAGAATTTACGGTACCGTTCGAGTTGATGGGTCTTGCAATAGGGTCACACGGAGCCAATATTCAGAGCGCACGGAACATTAACGGTGTTGAAGATATACAGCTTGTAGAGAGCAATGATGGTCACACACCTGTACTTTTCAAGGTTAGCGATGACTTATTTATTAAACGATTCAGCTGTTCGTCAGTATATAGGCAAGCTATCGTTAGTGATATTTCGGCTTTGGAAAAATTGTAATTTGTTAAGAGAATTCGGATAGAATTTGCTCGCAATGATTTCCAGGTATTTGCCCAAAATGCTGAGGCGGCAGCTGCAGCTCGTTCACAGCTAGAATATGCAGTAGAATCGTTCGATGTACCTCGTGGAATGGTTGGCAAAGTGATCGGCAAATCGGGTAAAACGATTCAGGTAATTATAAATTTAGATCTGCAGAGAAACTCTTTCTCGAGTATAATGTAGTGATATGTGAGTTAGAATTTTATTGAATACAAAATTATGTTGTGTCAATTCTTTAGGATATCGTGGATAAATCAGGCGTTGTGCGCGTGCAAATCGAAGGCGGTGATGGTCAAAATCGAGTTGATGAAAATGTAAGATCACTCTTGAAAAAATCAAAATCACTCTTGATTTTTTTCTTTCTGTAAAATAGATAATTTTGAAATTTGTCCAAACCTATTTGTGCTTGCTACTTCAAGTTAATGTTTTATTTAGGCTGATGAACCAGTGCCATTTGTTTTTACGGGTACAAAAGACGCAATTTCTATGGCAAATCTGCTGATCGAATATCATTTGCGACATTTGAAAGAAATGGAGGAAATGCGGTTGAATGTAGATGAGATGCAGCGGCAGCTCTATTCCAGGTCAACTCCTCCCCCCGCTGGAATGAATGGCAATGGGTAATTGAGAATTTGATGAAGCACAGCTGACAAGAATTTGATTACAGCTTTAACTGATCTGGGGCTAAAATTTGTACATTTTAATTTCAAATTTTACAAATCTGTTTGACTGCGTATATGATGGAAACAGGTAAGAATAGAGCTAGCTTATTTTAACAACAAGCCATATGTTTGCTTTCTATAATTTTTTCTCCGTGTAAAGAGCGTTTTTTACAGTTTTTTTTTAGCACCAGGTCAATTTGTTGTTCACTTAACACATGAAAGATTTAATGTCATTTTTTTTAGCTATCGCTTTGAACGTGCTGGCTACGAAGGAGGAAATTTTGGAGGTGGACGGGGCGCACCTTACAGAGGACGTGGGCGTGGCGGTTCTTTCCGTGGTGGCTTTCGTCAAAATAGAGGTATATTTTGGAAAAAAGATACTTTCTGAAAAGATTTTCGACGAATGAATTTATGATGGTATATATTCTTTCGGAAATTCTAAGTTCTAAAACTTGTTCTCAGTTCTTGTTTTAACTAAAGGTGGTGGAGATCAAGATGAACGGCGTCGTGCAGTGGATGATGAGAAAGGAGGCGAAAAAGAAGAAAATGTAGAACGAGAAACTCGTCGTATTGCCTCTGGTCGTGTTCGTGGTGGTAGTCGGCGTGGAGGTTGGTTTAGAAAACAATATTCTCTGTTATGTTTTGTTCCTATTCCAATTAGCACTGTAAGAAGTTAGAACGAAATTTGATGTCATCAAATAAAAAAATTAGAATTAATCTCAGAAGAGATTTTGTCGTCGAACAATATTTATCTATTGCAATTCCGAAATATAGGATCATACAGAATATTTGGGTTTCAAAAAACTGCTTAGTGCTTAGAAAGAGTGGTGGTCATGAGTGAGTGCACACTATTGGAGTTTGTAAATTCCGAATTCTGTCGTTAATGAAATTCCTGCAGTTAACATCGTTCTCTACAGGTTTGGTTAGCATGGATTTAGATTGCCGGAATTGTCGGAAGTGTGATGTGGTTTTAAAACTTGTTAATATGCTTTCATTTTATAGGCAGAGGCCATCCAGGGCAGGCAGTGAACGGAAGCGGTTGAGGCATGCGTTAGAGTTGATCAAATGATGTGACTCTTAAGGATTCAACCTCGGAATTTTAGTGGATCTAAAGCAAAGGAATTTTTTCGATTATGTCATTTATGTGCATTTCTTTTTTTTTTCTGTTTTGATTAATTGTTATGCACTAAGTTTTGTTAGTTGTTTTTTTCTCTTTTTCGTAAATTCATCACACTGGTTACCATCAGAACAAAATCGTTCTTTCCACATTAAAACGCGTATTACAGTTCCATTTGTATGTGTGTGTTTTTCAGTTGTTTTTGTTTATTTGTTTTACAGTTGCTATTTATGGTATCCCAAAGACAGTGTACTTTGTAGTTCAGGGAAATTGTTGTGGAGATAATTTAATTCTATTAGAATTACGATATTGTATCCATCCCAGGATAACAAGTTCTCTTCTAATTAGTTTTAACAAATTGCATCAGATTTTCTAGCTGCAGAGTCTGTATCATACAGTCACTGTCGTTTGATTTTATGAGATTTTTGCTTTCAGTGCTTTTTTGTGTTTTCGAGTTTGTTTTTTCTTTCCATTACATGATTATTCAATTACTATAATTATACAGTATATGCAGATTTACGGTGATCTCTTTCTCACCACTCCTCTTATTCTTAAATCCGAGAAGTCTCTGAAATGCTTCGGAGTTCTCTCAGGTTTCTAATTGATTTTGTCCCTAGTTGCCCAGCCACATGTTTCAAAATAGCTTTCGAGAAACTCAGTTTCAAGAAGGTTCTCGGTTGTGTGCTTGATGAGATCGTTTATTCTTTTTTTTTTGCTAATAAGATATATGAAATAAAGTTCGTTTTTGCTGAGAACAGTTGACATTTATTACAAAATGTCATGGATCTTCGACGAACTTATTCGTTAGGTTATTCGTTTATCAGTGCAACTTATCCGTTTATCAGTGCTCATCAGTTTATCAGTTTAATTAATTAGGTTATCCGTTTGTCGATATTTTAGTCGCCATAATTTTCATGCATGAAGCAGAACCAATCTATGATCATCGCAAATATTGTGGTGTCGTGCCATCCGTGAACGTCTCTCGATGTTGGCACAAATAATTTGATTTGATTGTTGAACAGGTAAATGTTAACCGTCCCTTATCGCTTGCAAGGAGTTCCGGCAATACAATTCAGCTTCAAGCGTAACAAAATTTTTTGAACCTAATCTTCGAAATGGAAGCGGATATTCATTCATCAATATATCCCATTTAAAGGAACACCTGCAGTATATGTAACGTCTTGCGGAATGTTTTAATGCATTACTTACACGGTACTAAACATCTTAACTCTTTTATAAGTATTTATAGTCATAAGACTGTTGTCATAGAGATCAGTCTCCAACAACAACTGACATTAGTCTACAAAGAATGGTTTTGTAAGAAAAATTTTTGAGAGAAATAAAAATACAACTCAAAACATTAAAATAACAAATCTTTCAGAGAAGAATGGAACAACTTTCTTACATAAATTTTTCACAAATATAAAATAAGTGAATTATTCCTACTTCAGTATATTTTTTTCCCCATAAAATGAGTCTCGTACAGCTAACTATTAATTTCTCTATATATTACATAATGAGGGATTAGGTCAGCAATGTCCTCTCTCACCACAATCATCCAATTAATCATCATGAAAGCTAAATAACATCAATTACCGATAAAAAGAAACTTCTGTAAAGTGTGGCAAAAAAAATCCAAAAAAAAAACATAGGGAAAAAGTAGCAAAAAGACACGAATGAACTGCAAATCAAAACGGTAAATCGAAAGCGAGAACCGTAAGCACCAACCAATGAAAGCATAGGAAAAGGTAGATCTATTGTACACCATTTATAACAAATCGCATAGAAAGTTTACATGGTTCGACCTACCCTACGAGAAAGAGAACATGACATTTAAAAAAGGACTAATCAAAGTGCCCTAATGTCCTACTGTTAAATCGATCAAAGTGCTTCAATATCTTTTCTATTAAAATTGCATGAACTTGAAGCAGTTTAATAATACATAAGAAATTATTTTAATGAGTTCATCAAATATTCTAAAAGAAAAATAAAAAATAAATCTTTGATATTCTTAAGGAAGAGAAACACTAACAAAGTTTCTGAATTACAGTAGCTTAAAAATTGCTCCAATACAGTTATACTTTGAAACTATATCCCATTCAAAAAGTGGAGAAAAACAAATTACAGTGAATGCTTATGACAAACACTATCTTTCTGCTGCTGAATAATGGTGTGCAAAGATCGTATTGTAAGTCCTCCTGGATGCTCTTCTGCTTCTAGTACTGCTCTTGGCCCATAATCTCCACCAACCATAAAGCTTTGTGTCCATTCCCAGAACCATTGATAGCAGTCATTTTTAGACGCATCAGTACTATTCGATGAACTTGAAAAACAAAATATTGAAACTTATTATAAATAATCACTATCCAAATTTCTACTCATTATAACAGAGTATGCTCATTATTAAGTAAAAATACACCATAATACCTTAAAAATTTGAATATTTTTAGTGAGCGTGACTATTAACTTCGTCTAAGCTATCGCTACATATTTCGCTTCTCCAAATTTTTCTTTTTAATATGTTTTTTAAAGGGACTAAAAAAGATACTGTTTCTTTGCAATAACTGCCTTCCAGAAATTTACACAACATTGCGCTTTCTCGAACTGTTCGCTAAAAACGGATGATCCTTGTAAAGTCGGATTGAATGCGTACAATTTTCCATGACTTCTAGACCAGCACATAATCCATGGATCTAATGCAGTAATAAGGGATGAAAATCAATGTAGAACTAAAGAGTACTTAATTTTAGTCTGTTATTCAGATGTACTCAAAATTAAAATAATTAAAAAGAATTCCAATAATCATATTCACCAACCAACTGAATAAAAAGTTAAGCTATCAAAATCATCTTATAATCTTATAATTCAGCATCAGTTACATTTTTTATAATCACAAATTTAAAAAAAAATCAACTAATCAAAAGCGAAGTAATTCGCATTCCACGACAATAGAAAAAAGACTGTCCACGACAATCGTCACCCTCTTCAATCACTGCAACTTCTTCACCTTTTGCAAAGACAACGTGGAATCGCTGCATCTCAGAATGAAGTTCATCAAGCATAAATACCTAGAAATAAACTCCAAACAATTTAGAAAATTACAGAATAAAAAATATTTTTCTAATGATATAATATCTCTTACTTGGAGATTTAAGTTCCCAAAATTCTCAGGTTTTGGATAATACTGTAAAAAAAATCTGCATCAACAGTTGGCTAATTAGCAAGATTTGTAGTTGTTCAATGGAAGTGTCACTAGTATTTCAATTCATGGATAGAACTAGCCTTTTTCTTTTTGCAGCAACGATGTTTTAACTATAGAACCATTTCAAATACTCTACTAAAAGATTTATCTACTTAATTACACTACTCTATCACTCTTTTTGTTGAATAGAAAGTTGTTACAGAAAGAACCAGCCAATTCTAATTCGTAATAGTTGTTCAGTAAGCAAACTTACTTTTGCAGGAAAAACTGGTGCAAGTTTTCTATCAGATATTTCATACGTAAATTTAATAGCTTTACACATCTTTTCAACTGCTGCCATTCTTCCATCGAAAGGAAGCGCGGAAACATCATCACCATTTAACAATGCTGCATCAAGAATTCGAATTGCTGCTTGCTCACCTTCTAATCTTCCTTTTTCGTCCAACTGTAATCAAACGATATACTACAAAGCAATGAACTCAAAATATGTTGCTAATGATCCGATATGAGAGAAATAAATTATCCTTTTTTTTCGATCTGATAACGTAAAATTCAAATTATTCCAAGATATGTTTGACATTTCCAATTTTTTACGTTTTTTAAAACAGTGCCCTCGTCCTATTCTCGAATCTTTATCATTATTGGGATGGCAACTTTAACAGGATACATGGACAAAATGAAAGAAAAAAATAAGCAAAAAAATGAAAATAAAAAATACACTAAAAAACTTTAATAGTTTTTGGACGTGACTTTTTTGATAGATAAATGAACAAATTTAAAAGAAGAAAAGCTTAACCCCTTTGTAGGCTTTAGTAATTTGTACAAGCAACACCGTATCTTTTGGTATATTAACATCGAAGGGAATTCTTTCGAAGCCTTGCTGAGAGTGTGACGAATAAAAATAAGTACCCATTTGCTGAAAATGATAGAACCATAACAGTTTTAAACAATTTCTCTTCTTCCAAGAAATCAATACGATTTCTAGATGTAACTTCTATTAGTGCAAAATATCAATAGAAATCATAATGTTATCAGTTTGTCATCGGAAAATAAATAAATATATCTTCTAAATATGAGTACAATCACCAGCAAGAATTTTAAGCTTTCATCTTAAACGATTTGAGTTAAAGCTACATATCCGCCGATAGACAATCAATGAACCGATGTCTTGAATGACTAACTACTTTTCATGGAGTTGGTATTTTTTGTTACAATTCTTTACATATCAATAATTGACAAATATCCTGAATGTAAAGTTTTTTTATTATAGCTAAGTTTATGCATACTTTGCATAAACTTAGCCATTTATGTGTACTTTGACTTCTCTTAAATATCTTGCAGACTTTGAGAGAAAGTTAATCTCGTGTAACAGTGATACATTGATATTACAATCGCTAAAATATTTCTACATGTACTCAGTCGGTTGCTTTAAGAAAAATTACAGATACAACTAAGTCATTCTAAGTAAAAAACAACTCACGGTAGAGATCAATAGAACTGGAACCTCCTTTTCTGTGACGGCGCACATTCGTAATTCGGCATATCGCAGCCGACTTACTCCGGACGATAAAACATTTCTCGTGAATGGCGGTGGCTTTTGTTGCAATTCTTTAAAATCGATAATCTATAATTTTATAATTTTATAATTTTGAAAATTACAACTGCTTGCCTATTGAGAATGATAATTTACCGCGAACTTCCATATACTAATGTATTAAGATATTTTCTTCAGTAATATTAAGTGAAAAATTAATGAAATCGTTCAAATCAAACCTTGACAAGTCGACTGATAGATGCAAATAACGATTCATTTGATTCATATGGCTTTTTTTTGGTAACATCTGGAATCTTCCAATAATTTAAACATTCACTTCTTAGTTTTTCTTGATCTCGATCCAGTTGACCAACATTTTGAGCAAAAACTCGATATTTGTTCAAGTAACTTATTTGTCTTTTCACCGTCCTGCAACGGCGCAATCATATGCTTACATAAAACATGCACACTGTAATGTACACTTCGAAATTGCATTACTGCTAATCAGGGGTTACAAAACGGTTTAGATTAGCTATCAAAATCAATAAATTAAATTGATTGAAGCTTTTCAAGAATTCTAGATATAATTCCTTTCTGTATGCATATCCGCTATCGTCATAATCATTTCTAATCTTTCAAATTGGAAAGATTGAAAGTTTTTTTTTCAGTTACAACTATATTCTAAACATGCCATTACAACTTTTTCCACAAAAAAATCGGAAATATGTGAACTCTTCCAATGTAAAAAGGAAGTGTGTTAGAAGCAACATGCTTCCAAAAATAAAGTAAAATGCACCAGTTGTTTTATCACAATGAAAATGACCAAAAGTTTTAATAATTATCGATATTCTAAAATAAGAACCTTTCATTGTGTTCCAGTATATACGCCATAAAAATTTTATCCGAATGGATCATATTTTCAGGAACAACTTCTATTACATCTAATGCTTTAGTTTCCCACAATCGATCCAATTCAGCGTTAATTTTAGTCATGTATTTTTTCACTTCTAAGACGTAACATCCCAAAGGATTATCACATACAATATATCTGTAAAAGAGATGTTATACTATAAATTTTACTCTATTTTTGAATTGCATCTTATGTGATTCCCAAAAACAATTTTTATCTAAAATGAAAGGTATTATTTGCTTCAGAATAATTAGTTGCTGTTTTATTTCATAAGTTTGGGAGTCCTCGAAACCAGTCGAGTAAGTATGGCATTATGAATAAATTAAGTAGTTGAATTACTTCCGGTTTATCACTTCTGTATCTTAAACTTACCCGGAATGAATAATTAAAACATTGGGCACTATCTTCACTAATAGTTCTGTACGGCCATGAACCAAATTCTATCTATCGTTTCTTACAAAAAATTTCTGAATTTGAATATAACAAACAACCAGCTGTCAATAAAAGGCTAAAAATAATGTGTAGTTTACAGCATAACAGCAAATGTCAAATCAGAAAAAAGCAACCTTTCCGAATTAGCTGGACGACTGGTATTAGGTTTGTGTATTGATATTCTTTCAAATGCAAAGTACATCAAATAAATCAGACCGATACTAAACGGTGTGAAAATGTCGAATAATTTGCAAACAAATTTTCCACCACTTCCCGTGTTACGCACTTTCACACGCAAAGCCGAGATACCAATCAAAAATTGACAAAGATAAAGACGTTTTGATAGAATTTCCTAAAAAATCGAGGTAAATTTATAAATATTTAATAAATGTGATAATTAAGTCAAAATTCCAAAATCGTTTCAGAAAAACTCCAATGAGGTAAATTTCAAGAGAAATTCCATAAAAAGACGGCTAAAACTAGTGTAACACTGTAATGCTTACCTGAATATTTTCTTGCTGATCAACACAAAATCCACCGTCAGCCATAACCAAATCTACACCCACGTTATTGGTACCACGTTTTACAATCTGAGTTACTCAAAGTAAGCTATGAGCAAATTCCGAACAAAAAATAACTTCACTAAATTATTAACTAAACTATCTGACATCAAATCAGTAATTTCAAACTAAAAAATGGTCTTGGACACTTTTTTCGAGCTTTTTATGCATAAGAATTTTGCAAAATTGCATAAAATAACAGAATTTTCTTATAAACTCATAGTTTTTCTGCATAATAAAATATGAACCAACTTCTTCAAATGAGGTGATATTGTCCGGTTTGGTGACATCACCATCGTTATGTTTACCATAGTATGGCTCAAAATAGGAGGGCGAAGCTGCTGTGAAACGTTTCAATTTGAAATCATCTTTTCCTGTGGAGAAAAAAAATTATTCCATAAAATAATCGCCATTCAAGCCTTTCTTGTTTGATGAATTTTTATTCATGTCATGGAATTCGCATGGAATTCCCACGGCATAAACTCTGTTACAATTTTTTTTATTAATTGCGAAGTATGTTATGATTCTGTTACGCATTCGCATCTGCTTATCACAATAGTTTTGAAAAAGATAAAATGGAAAATATTTTGGAATGAATTTAAAAGATTCTTACCTTTTAACGTCATTCCGAAACCTTTCGCATTGTAATAACCCTTTCTCCACAATACATATTCCGTGAATCCACCAGGACCAGCGCATATGTCAGCAAAGTAAAATAGAGGCGACGTTCGATCGGCATTTTTTCCCGGAACTGCTACTCGACATTTTTCATTTTTTATTTCTACATTTAAAGGATTTTTGATTTCAACGCTCTCCAGTTTTTCACCTGTTAATAACCAATCGTAAATCCGGTCTAAATTTGCCATCTTCATCGCTGCCCTTGAAAAAATTTCTTTCAATACGAATTAAAAAATTTTGAAATAAGGGGAATTGATTTATAAGAAATTTTTAGATGATGCGATCCCACAGAAAAAAATTCATCCAGAAAAAAAGGAAATCCTAGAAAAAAAATTCTGCACCGAAGAGCCTATGAAGAAAAAAAAAAACTAGAAATCTGTAACTGGAAATATGCATGAATAATATCTGGAAAGTACACAATTTTATTTTAGCATGATTAAAAAGCAAAAAAAGCATTGTCATTTACACAACTGCCATTCGCAATATTTGTTAACTGGTGAACTAGAAAGTAGTTTTTTGATTCAATTTTTACAGTTTAATGAAATTACCGATTCTGGAAAAAAGCAGAACCGATTGTTTCATATGGATTTGCTCGGGTACGGGCTTCCTTTAAGTCTCGAACATCAAGCTGATCAAAAACGGATTTTGCATCCAACATTTTTTTCATTAACTTGCTATCACAATATTTCCACTCGTCATCCAATGTCTCCTTTCGCTAGAATATATTAGGGTATAAAAATTAACAAAGTCTAAGAGAATTCAAAAACTGTGAATTCTTCCCAAATCTCTATTTTCCATCATTCAGCCATGCTTCCAAAAAGTAGACTCACATCTCCAATGATGATCCAATTGTTTTGATCTCGCAGTTCTTTTATGAATTTCTGTCGAATGTCATCAGGAGCAGATAACCATAGAACACCTTCTTCCACAACTTTCTCTTCCTCCGTAAAATTCCAAACTGCATTCCAATCCCGAGCAATTTTCTAAATAATGAATGAAAAATTGTTTGATTCTAGATCAAACTCACTAAAAATCAAATATTTGTAACCAATAATAAGTCAGTTTTTTTTTTAACTAAGTAAATCAGCAACAGTTTGTTATTAGAAAAAAAATATATTTAACGCAATTAAGGAAAAAAAATCAATCCTCCATTACCTGATTCGTAGGCTGTCCCAAACCTTCGCGACCTCGTTGCGTGGAGAATGGTATCAATTCTGTGCGTCCTTGGCCGCTCTTACCAAGTCCACCACCATCGTATCCCATTTTAGCCAATAGTACTGCTCCTTTATTTTCACAAACGCGTTTTGGCTAAAATGTTCCGTAAGTTACACTTTAAATGAAAATGATGAGATACATTCTTCTCAATCTGAATGAAAAAAAGGAATACTTGAAAAAAATCATTTCAAAAATAAATTTCACAAAAATGATGGTAATCAAAAATTTAATTTCATTTTAACAGACTGAAAGGAAGTAATCTAAAAATGAGTTTATTTTAGAGCATTGGACATTTTTTGATAAAATTTCATTTCTTTTTTTTATGATGGGTCATTGCTTTAGCAATTTAGCCGGTAATCCTCGAAAGCAACAAAAATGTACAAATAGAAAGAATAAATGAACAATTGCTTTAAATGTATGTCAAGAATAAGATTCCAAAATGGAACATGAAAAATCTCTAGTTTATATCTTCCTTAGAGACTCAATAAACCTAGAATTTTTTCAAAGCTAACTATTTTTGCAGGAACTTCATTGAAAACATCGTCTTCATCCTCGCTATCAGTCCATTTTTCACTACTTTGAAACGGTTTTTTCATCAATTTCGTCTCTTGAAGTTCTTCTTCAAAACTATCTCGAATATCTTCCAAACGACTGGACACTAATCGACGCATCATCTGAAACGCCTATTTTATAAAAATGTAACACAGATAAATCTTATAAAGATTTAAATAAAAACAAGAAGATAAAGTTAGCAGTTGTTACTTTCTGATTGTATTTCGCAGTCCCTTCTCTCATTATTTAACCCTTTCGCAATGATTGAGTTTTTCGAGATGTGAATAAAAATGAAGCACTGACGAAGAACTACGACAACTGATTACCTCATATTTCAAAATCTCAAAAGAGGAGAGAAAAATATTTTCAAAAAAAACTAAGTTTAGAAAAATCGTGAAGAAAATAAGAATTAAAATTTTTTCGGCAAAAACATTTTTAAAAAATACTACGAACAGCTACATGTAATAAACAATATATTCCTATTTAACAAAAATTTTTAAATCAAAAATATATTCACAAAAAAAAAATGCCCAAGAATACCAAATTATTCACAGCTTGGACAATTAAAGTTAATTTCTTAACTCTATCCTCAAGGCTTTAAATAAAATTAACTGAATATGCCTTCCAACACCACAAAGAAATAAATCTTCACAGCGTAACTAAGAAAGCTAATGAAAAAATATAAAATGTAAATCCATGATTGATATGGAAATTGAGACCTTGCTATTATTACTGATATCCATCGCATGCCTTGAAGAATCTTGAGACATTTCGTTCCTTTAAGATCTGAAAATTGGAATATGTTGAAGTTTTTACAAGTGCAATTTAAAATAAATCATATCACGCTTAACTATATGATAATGATCCATGTCGAATATAACTAATAACCAGTTCGGACTGTATTACGTGCTTTTATAAACGCTGAACCGTGTTCCAACTATTAGCATAATTGAAATGTACGTTAAGTTAATAAACACTAAAAATTAAACTCTCGAGAAACTCCACCCCATACTATATCTTAACGCATATTGCGCTTTATCTGACAGAGTTATTGTGAAAAGATCAATCCGAGAAAATTAAAATTCGATATTGAAGAGTTCGAAATGTTCTAATGTTTGATGATTCTAGCAGAAATATAATGGGATAGTAGCAGTCATTCCCGAAATTTGAATACGTACAGAGAATAGGAAAAATAATAAGATCAATAATGAAAAATTGTGAAATCGAATTAAATTGATATGGTTGATTTGTTGTTGCTATAAGGATTGATGAAATCTCTCTCATTTCACTTCCTCTAAACTTTCCACTTTTATCAACCATATTCAGAAATAATACAAATGGCAATATTTGTAATATTTCTGAATATGGTTCATTGTGTTTAATTCAGAATTTCTCCTTTCCCTCAAAAGAAGAAATT